TGGTGTGGATCCTCCTCAGCGAAGAGATCGTTTCCCCGCGGGGTATCGTTGGGGCCATCGGACGATGAGGCTGGCAGGAATAGCAAGGATAGAAAAAGGCCTCGCTAGGACTACCGGCTTCCTCGTCGACGAAGTCCTTAGCAGTCTTGAGTCGGCGAGCTGTGGTGGGTCCAGCGCGACTGGACCTCGGCGATGATGATGATAAAGATGGCGCCGGGTCGGATGATGATGGGGAGGAAGGGGAGCTCATGATCTCAGGTATAACTCATTGAAGTTGATCGTTCCCGTTGCAACAGAAACAAGACAGCACATGGCACTATTAACATCGATAGAAACAGGTGACGATTTACTTCACTGATATATGGTTAAAATAATACCAACGACATCGGGATCGGATTGTCCTACTACCTCCCTGAATAGCCTGCAGGGCAGCCTTTGTAACATCGATCATGCAGGAATCGGTCGAAAAATCCCCACAGTGGCGAATGATTTGACAAGAAGGGAAATATCGTGGTGAAGATAGTAACGCTGTTTAGGCGTACTGGCAACTACCTCAAGATCGACGAGATGCTGTCCAATAGCCACGTCGGCCACAATGTTGGTAGACTCCTCCGGACCAGGATTTTGCAGGTCTGTGAAATCACGCGTTTCACAAATTTCAATCTCAAAACCTTCTTGAAACATGGTATAAGCCTACCGGCGCCCCGAAAACTGCTCGCCCGCCCCTAAAAATCATTCTTCGCCCTTAGATCTTCAAAGTCCGCCTCTAACTCAAAAGCGGAAATTCCACCCTTACAACACACTTTCTACTCAGCTAAAGTGTTGCGTATGCTTCATCTGTGTGTCCTGCCATTTCGTGTCAGTCATGGCTTGGAATCATTTGATCATGGACGATTCGGCACACTGGTCTGAAACTAGCTTGATCATTGTATCGGCCAAGGTTTCGGAACAGTTGAGTTGCTTCACTAGGCCTCCTCGGAGAGGGGGCGGGGCTCACGTAATTCAAGCAAAAACGATTAACTCGATCGACTCCCGCGCCGAAAAGGGGAAGTCAAGAAGTCGCGAGTTCGATCCCCACGGACGTCATTTTTAGCGCAATTTTTCCGTCCGTTTTCGAAGCAACTGCTGATGGAAATATGCTTTCCGGCGCCCGGAAAATGCTTCCGGAACGCTTCCCGGGGCTGCTTACGGGCTTTTGTGAGCTATAGAGTGGGGGAGCGTGGACGGAATTCGACCGTCAATCTCGACGATTGCTGAACTTCGGGGTCTCGAATATCATATCCATAGCTATTCCCATACAGTTCAGGTCAGTTCTATGACTCGGCTTTAGACTATCAAACACAATTACCGATACTCTAGCAGTGATACTTGACTCCGGACTTGCAACCCGACTAGTGTATATGATATAATCAACCCGCTTCAACACTCCAAAGCAGTTGTTTTCCAACTGATTATCATGAGCAGAGGTTCATAAAGAGGAGTCGCTTACAATGAAATCATTCTGGAATTCAGTAACTAGATCTTATATCCATGACAATGGAATGCAAGAGAGATCGATGCTACGCGTCACAGTCGTTTCAGCAAGTGTCTCCACGAGGGATCGTGCCCGGTAGACTCCTTATGGTTAGTAGAAATTAGATTTCACATGACTAACCACGCCTTCACTGACGAGGACGACATGAAGATATTCAGTTTCATAGTCGACGAGGCTGCTGTTGCTATGCGATGCGGGAAGCTGGTCCGGGCATGTGGACATAAGGTCTGGAGGAAAGCTGAGCAGTAAAGTGAGTGACGCAGTTTAGAGCTGTCGACTCTGCCCGATCAGCATACTCTTGTCTTCCTAGGTATAGCGCCACCGCACACATTCCAGAGTATGAAAACCCGTTGGATGAGATACATAGAACCCTGCTACGTCGAGTTCTCTGGACGACTCGCCGAAAGGATGAATAGTCGAAGAACCCCGCATACTGTATGTCGGACTCTAATTACGAGACATTGCGATCCGACCGACTTTAGTAGCTAGTTCTCGCTTCTACATCAGCTCAGTTCGGATTCGGCTCGCGCATCAACTCAAGAAGTGGTAGAGAATCACTCCACATCATCGCGAAGAAGGGCTCAGAGATTGGTAGAAACAAGAGACCGGACAGGACGGAGGGGAACCGGTGGTTGTGGACCCCATCCGATGATACACAGTATGCGATAATACTAGTGTGTCACACAATATGTAGACTACACATGTGACTAAGTCACTGGCAGTGACGCACTACATTGTCACGAGTCACTTCAGATCCGCTACATCCGTTAGCCGATAACACCTTCACTACCGGAATCAGCAATTAGTGAAGATCCGTCCGTCGCCCTTGTCTCACCTCCTTACCTTGTGTTGTTTGTAAATGCCGAAGGTCCACATGAATGTGGAGGAGAGAGTGCTGGATATAGGAGTCATGTTTGTTCAAAGTGGAGCCGTTGGAGTCTTCATACTGAGCTGAAGACTGCGACCGCACGCCCGAGACCCTTAGGAATAGGACTAGGCGGGATTACTCCACACCTGATATGGAGCACACTCGGATAACTGAGGCAGAGAAGGAAATTTCCCAGGAGCAGCTCTGAAGGTAAGTTCAGACGCACGCGCGTCAATAGTATCGGGGCTTCAGGATTGACTCAATACTGAAGCGCCGAATCACGCCCCACTGCATGTCCCTTTGGTAGGGTCTCAAGACTATTAAAATACACATTGCCAGCTCACCCCGGAACCGATGCTGACGGGATCCCGTGACCCTGCAGCGTGCTCAAGCATGTGGGTCCTCGATCTTGGGTACGGGTTCCACAGTGGCGTCCATTCGGGCTTTCTGTGCGGCTAACGACAAAGTGCCAGACGATGAGAATCAACCATACTGTTTGGCGTTTGATATCAAAATCGGCAGTTCCTTCTACTTCGTATTCTCGTGCACGAGATTGCTGAGGGAAGGAACGAAGCACCAAACACTCACTTGTGATTATACATCAGCACCCAGCTGGTTAGGGATGCCACTGCTGGTGATGGGAAGCCTCGATTGGAGAGGCCACTTCAGACCGATCGGCGATCGCCTTCGCATTAACCAGCCATCAAACCCAGGACGATGTCGCATCCGTCTTCTGCTGCGTGGCGCGATCGGCTGAGAAGATACACGGTCCTTTCGTATCAAGCGTACTTGTCGCTGATGCTGCGGAATGTTTTACGAATGCTTATAAGCAGGTATAATACCTGCTTATAAGCATTCGTAATAGTCGTTTAGTAATGATCGCATAGTAATAATCGTATAGTAGTAGCCGTATAGTAATAATCGTATAGTAGTAGTCGCATAGTAATAATCGTATAGTAGTAGTCGTATAGTAATAATCGTATAGTAGTATTCGTATAGCAATAATCGCATAGTAACGTAGCGATGCAATCATAAAATAATTCAGGTATTCGGCGAGTTGAGTCCGACGGGGCTGAGGCGTGACTTACGTTGGGAGTACGGCTCATTCAATCGGGGAACTAGGCTCTATTGCTGGGTTCACATGTTGCGGGCGGTCCGAGGGTGGCTCCCTACCTACATCAACAAGACCACAGAGGGGTCTGTTGCAGCCGCTCAGGTGAAACGCGGTGAATTTTATAGGGATATCAAGGTCCTTCATTGCTGCGGGAGCGATAAACTATTCGATGACGGAGTGGAACTATTCGTGGCGAAATGGAAAGCAACCCACCCCCACCTCATCGAGAAGTTCGGCAAAACCTGGCTTCTGAAGACGGCCACTTGGTATTCCACCAATTCCACCAAAAATCAAAATTCGACCATTTTTGACCGATTTTCTGTAGATTTTGCATTTTTCTTATCAACTCAGGCTCCGTGACAACAATAACAAGTTGTTATTAACAACTAACTGTAACAAGCTAACTCATTTGACAGGAACGGATACTTCAAAAATATTGATAATGGAAAAATCACGCCATGTGTTTGCGTGCTCCATTGCTCATCACTTGT